ACTATGCGTAAAAGAAACTATCACACTGGAGTACAGAAAGCGAACAAAAGGAGCCGTTGCAAGGTCGACAGATTTGTTAATAAGTCATATTACGTCATCAATCTCGTTCTTATGTTTCGCAGATCAGTATGAAACGCAGCTCAAGGACAGCAATTAGGAGACGTCTCTAACATTTTGCAAGTGAAATACAACGTAACATTGTCTACTTTCATTCCAGTATACCTAACATGGCGTGGATGAAGTCAACAGCGATGATGGTGATTCTAGCCCAGAATTTCACAATACCTGAGAGTATGGCATGGCTTCTCTTTAGATACTTGAATATAGGTCGCGATAGCGCGTATCCCACTTTTGAACGGAAGCTTCTTTGCACTTTCCAATCGCTGCTGCGAGATTTAACACAATAATCCTAGAATTTCACTTAACGAGCTACTGATATCTACGTCTGAGCGCGAGAAGATTCCCGGTTTGAGTAGGGTTGTAAAGCTCACTTCTTTTCACCACGTCAAGTTTCGAGTTTTTTTTATTCGTCATTGTCTGTCCAACACTTCCCGGAACTCTCGGCATTACGCTACGGCCGTTTCGTGCATTGAGGTCAATGCTACCTGACCAGTGTGCGGGCAATTGCACTAAAACTTCTCGCCTCTCTCTCTCGATCGAACCTCTTACTCACAGCCGCAACAACGTTCCAACTTACCAATCGACTCGCTTCTCATTCGCTTTGATTCGTTTTCCCTTTCAGAAGATGGGGAAACAAAAACAAATTCGCTGTAATGTTATGATGACGACAATACTTTGAGTGCTGTGTTCGCGCTTCGGTTAGATTTGAGCCTACAGCTTGAGATCCCTTCATCATTACAGTTTCGAGATTTCTTGTAGTGAACACACTTCTCATCTATGCAGTACTTCAGGCAATAGTAATAGTCTCCCTTTCGCAAGATTATCTCAAAGCTATCTCAGCGCGAAATTGAAGTAATTACGATACAATCGCATGTGACAGCTGCCTGTTCCTTGATCGCTATACTCGCTAGCGTGAATGTTTGCCTTCTTTTTACTTTCCCATTCCCAAACAGATCTTATTGCTTTTACTCATTGGAATGTATTACTTGTCTGAGAGGGAGAGTTCAGCGCGACAAATGAATGGCGAATTACTCTCATGTTGCCTTTCCTTCAAAACGTGTTTTGACATCATGTTTCCAACTCGACTAATTTATTCATTCTTTTTTTCTCATTTGCTTACTTATTTATTATAATAAATTTGTTTATTTATGGAACTTTATTTATAGAGGATTGTACAAGAGTTCACGTGGAAATTCAACATGTAACATCACAAATGCCGATGGTAGAAAAATTCCAATGTACATACCTAACGGCATAGAGAGAAAGTTTAATTATTAGTTTACGCACGGCTCGATGCCCAGAAATATGACGCTGTTCGGTGACAAAAAATGATAATTAGACCCTTCAGAGTACAAAAAAGGTCTTGTGGAAAGAGGCTTCCTGGAATCTAAAGAAAGTAGTTGGGTTTTGAATCGATGTCCTCTTTATTGCAAACAAAACTAAGCAAAAGCAAATATAATCATGTAGAAAGAACATATTTATTTATTTATTTATTTATTTATCTTGCGTCCGAGGACGCGCTACAGCTAAGCGATAGGAACTAGCATGGCTGCATCAATGTTCGTTTGAGGTTAACGAACAAAAGTGAGGAGAAACAGGAACAAAAACAAAAATAAACAATAAACAAAACATGCCGAAAATTGGAATATCCAGCTAGTTCTCAGAGTTAGACGTCATAAAAGGAGGAAGGTGCTGAGACATAATGTTAATCTCTACAGATAAGCCTCTCAAAACAGGACAATGACTTCAACATTTTTGACACTTTAAACTAGAGCTGGATCGATGACTGTATTAAGATCTTGAGCGGAGGCAAGTGGTGGTAAGAGGAGCCGCTTAGCACTAGAACGCAGGAGTCTGTAGAGAAATTCCGGATCGTATCGCCCCCGCCTAGGCCATACAAATCCTTCATCTCCCTGTGGTTGGTAAATGTTCTCAGACTTGACTTGGTGCATGAAAGCACTGACTTGTGTATCGGGTGGCCCGCAACTTATACTCTAGACCAATTTACATTCAAGTGCCACTGATTCGGAGGGGAAGTAGTGCAGTGCGCATCCCAAAAGGGATTTCGTCAACGCTGTATATTTTTTCCTTCATGTCTCATTACTATCATAGTTGAAGTTCGTCTTGGCACGCCGTTCTCATCGTTGACCGGTATTTCCTCGTCTTTGATCTTTCAAGCCAGCAATCCTATAATCTCAGGCTGTTTTAATTAAAGGGAATTCCGTGCCCTCTTTTTTTTATTCGTGTGCACTTTTCGGTCTGTTCCGTCATGCGTTTCGAAGTATGCGCTTAGGAACAGTTTCGTGAGATCATGTCATACTGTAATGAGGGCGATATCATTTATAATACTAATACTTACTTCTTACTTCTCGACCGCTATTCGTCCCGGGCACGCCAGAAACGCAGGTCGCACATCTTCCAGGTCGCTCTGCTTCGGGCTCTTCTGCGCCACAACTGGCCGTACATCTTCACGAGAGGGTCTGCCCATCGGGTGGGGGTCTGCCTCTGGGCCTTGTTTTTCCCCTTGGGTACCAGTCAGTCACTCTCTTCGTCCAGCGATCATCGGTAAGTCTAGCCACATGACCGGCCCACCTCCGCTTGGAATTGTAGATGGCATCGACGACGTCCTTCACCAATACTAACACTATAATATTTATATGAATCTTTTCCTCTCCACTCAAGAGACCTTTCAACCTGATAAGGGCATGAAATTCGTTGACACTAGCTTACTACCTCGCTGTTTGTGCTACGTGTTTCAATATTCGCTAAAAGTTAATCATAATCCATTATTCTGCTTGTCCCAGTGAGCCTTAGTTTGTTGTGTTCTAGCTGACTTCACTGTATTAGGTTGATGCATAATTATTGCGGCTTTTTTCGCGCGTTCTTTTCTCGAGAAGATTGGCGTTTGAGTTTCTGTTTTTTTTTCATGAGAATATTCTTCTTTCTTCCATTAACAGAAATGCTTATCGGAAATTGTCCTCATCTTCACCACACATGCTTACTACTTCTATAAATGTTAGAAGGCGGCGGGGCCATTCCGCGATCTCATCAAACTTCTCAGCGAGGGAGCAATTAGCAAAACCCAAGACGAAGGATCGTTCAAGAAGTTTAAAACGCCACATCTACCGAGCGGAGCTCCTACAGACTAGCAATTCAATCAGACGTTGAAAAACTGGCTAGTGTTAGAGCGTGGATCGTCTCCGAGAATCGTGACTTTTTTATCCGTGGAATCACCGAGAGAAAAGCAAATGGGAAGCATTCTTGTGGGATGGTGACCACGCTCCGGGGTTATTATTTAAACATGTTTTTGTTGAATAATTTTGTCGTTTTCGCTGAATAAAATCTGTTGGAAAAAGCCGCAATAATTATGCATCAACCCAATATTACCAGCAACGAAGCTACATCGGAGTATGCTGTCGCGTGAATTAGCTGGACCCCAATCACGTTTTATTTAGTGTCATTGCATACTTGATTTCTCGTCGTAGCAACAAATGCATACTCAGAATGGGAAAACGTTTCTTGGGATTATACTAATCACTTGCGGCTACAAAACAGCTCCCAACTGACGGCGGTAGATTCGACCAAAGTTCGCATGTTCGTCGTTGGCTTGAGTTTTTGTGAGAAACCACAACGTCAAAGCAATCAATCCTTTCTACTCGTTCTTTTGACATCTCGGCTAACCGAGGATGCGTCTTTGCACTTCGAGCGTTTCTGCGCTCGTCGATCGCTTGCGACCTTTTTAACCGTGTGATGCGCACATGGAAAACGTGTTGTTTGGCCTTGTGTAGAAACACCTTTGAAACATGCTCGAACTGGTTATCTTAGAGACTTATATGGTATTCAAGAATTCCACAGGAGCAGTTGTCGCGTGTTATATTAGGTATTGAGCAAGACAACACCCTCACACAGCCAATTTTCAATATGCAAAGAGGATCCATTATTCGCATCGACTTTCAAGCTTCGAGATCCCATTAGTCATTACTTACAGCTGACAGCGGGTGGTTTCGGACCTTGGAAAACACGTTACGTGTCACGTACATAAAAGGGGCGAATCCTTTACAACTATGATAGAAAGGTCCACAGCGTCGCTTCCGGGGCTCGGCACTTTCACGGCACTACAAGGGCATTCTCAAGAAAGTGAGCAAACCAGCTCTTTTGGTGTTTCTGCTA